ATTTTCAATTAATAAAACTCTGTCAGGGATGGAGCTGCTGGGGCACACCACAGCCATGCAGGTACACTTGGGCAGGGGAGGGGAGCACCCATCTCAGAACACAGTGGACCAAAATGGAAGAGACTGCTGTGGCCTGAAGGCAAGAATAGGGAAAGGACAGGGACTTCATGTGTGCTGGGAAGCACAGTGAGGCTGGGAGAATGGAACAATCAGAACAGAAACCACACTTCCCAGGTAATTTCAGGCAAAAATCTGTGCACGGTGGAAACCACACAGCATTTTTTGCCATGTTGTGTGAACCCGGCCCTTATAGCTGAGAAGCTGGGTAACTCTGCTGTAAGGTCTCCCTTGAAGGCACACCTTGCAAGACTTTAGATCTTTCAAAAACAGATCAGATGGCAAATCCTACTCTCACTTCAAGTTGCAGGAGGGACACATATGACCAGATGTGCTGTGTCTTGTTCCCCTGGTCTTGTTCTTTGAACATAGAAAGCTGGCATAAGAGAAGAAGCTAGGCTAGAATCTTTCTACCTTAATTAGCCCTTTTACAGCAGTCAAAGGAGGAGACTTCTCTATTAGAATTGGAAGAGAATAATCTTTCATTCTACAGTTGTCTACATTGTATGGCTATATAATGTGGTGATACAAAGCATCCTGAAAAAAATAGCTTTTAGCATAAACTTAGGAACAGTAGTAGAATGCATGCAAATATTCACACATTTCTCTCTGTTTTCCAAATGTAGCTGTGTGAAAGAGTGGAAACAAGGAGTAAAGATAGGTTTCCAAGGCCAGGAAGAAGGATCTTTCTTAGATTTTCTAGGTTGGCATTTAGGACACAGACACCAGAATAAGTAAAATATACTGATCCCTTCTACTCTGGAAAATGTCTTCATAGCAGAGACTATTTTACCCCCACCCTCCAATTCCTGGGGCAAGCAAAGTAAACATCTTAACCTGACATGTAGGTGAGCACCAGCCAAAATCAGGTTAAACAAATTGACAGTTCAGTTAGCTGGTGACTCAGAGCAGTAACATGAATCACCCACTCCATATTAGCACTAATGTGTTGACATCTTATACCAAATGCCAAGACGGGTATCATGGACAGTGGTAACATCAGGACAGGATTTGGGGACAGATGCCTAGGACTTCACTCAGCAGAATAACCTTAAGGGCCTCTAAAAGGGTATGAGCAAGATAATTAAGTCCAGCATCTGGAATTACCAAATTGAATGACTGTGGAAGAACAGATTCTTACATTTTCAAGCAACAAAACCAGGTGAAATTTAGACAGAGGGAAAGCAGTAACCTGGACTTTTGGGGGGTGTTTTTGTTTAAACCTGGATTAGGTTGTCTGTTTTCCAGACTAGGGAACCACTTAAAGTGGTACCTTTTCAGAGACAGCAAGTGATTTTGCATGCTTAGCTTTAAGTGCCTTTAAGAACTGAATTCTCATTGATTTTGTGAAGAAGCAGCTACCTTAAGGTGAAACATGGCTAGGAAGTCACTATGCTTATCACAGGTCCAACCTTGAAAAGAGAATCAGTAGTCACAGGAGAAGATCTCCCAAACCAATGGAAGGGAGAGAGAACAGCCTTGTGTACTTTCAGAGCAGCTGCCAAACGCTGGCCACATTAGGCACCTGGATACCTGCAGCTTAGTCATACAAAATGACTGTCGAGCAGCTACAATTTCAGAATGCAGTGGAAGAGACTCATCACCTCTCTGTGCACTTGCATGTTTTATTTAGCCCAGCCAAAAATAAGAAGCAAGATTTGTTCTGGGAGCTCTCTGATTTCTTAAGGGAAGCAGCAGAGAAGGAAAATATTGATTTAGGGCCTTTTATTTTAAAATTCACTCTATAACCTGGGGGGTGGGGAGGATAAAGTTCTAGTGATGTCAGTTCTCATTGCCATGGCAACTGTACATTTTTAGTGACAGCGGAGTCTTCCTCAAAGCTGCTAAATTACATGGGAAGAGAGAGGGTGAGAAGGGCACAGAGCTGGCAGTGGAATTTACTTAGGGAAAGCTGCAACTCTTGAAATTTGTTGGGTGAGGGAAGAGAGAAAGGAATCAGCTAAATAGGCATACTGTTTTGATGTAATCATCAGTATTATTTAATCCAAGATGTACAGCCCACAATATCTTATGGGCTCAGGGCAGGTCCCAGATGTGTCTAGAGTAGTATCTACAAATGAGGGGGGCTCTCTTGCTTCATTTCTGTACAGAATACTGTCACCAGAAGCAGGAAAAGATGCAGCTTTCTGAACCACACTGGAATCTTTGACATCATATTCTCTGTAGCAGTTCTCTGCTGTTCCTTAGCTTCTTCTCAAGGGAGAATATGCTTTCTTTTTTATTTTTTCAGTTCCGCCCCAAGTAAAACAAGCAATTAAAGGCATTTAAAAATTTAAAAGATAATTTTTGAAGTTTCAGGCTTTCAAATATTTCTTTCTCTCAACTCTTTTCTGAAAATCGCATAGCTTTTTATTGAGGCTGGGTGCTACGTTTCCTTGGGCTGGCAGCATGAAACTGAAATGGCAGGTTGCCCGTAGTTTCTTTGATATTTCCCCTTGCATCAGCTTCTCCTGACCAGCTGCCTTGGACTACTACTCTAATCATCCACAGCCTGGCTGGCTGGAGGGTGCCAGGCTAATTTCTACCTTGGATATATTCTAATAGCATGCTCTTGAAACCTATTTTATAAAGGTTGTTGAAATGTGTTTTGCTCACAACCACTTTGTATTCCGTATATTCTGTGCTCTCATGTCAAATTTAAAACATGGGAAAACTAATGATTTTGAAGTAAAAAATAAAAAGGCACGTCTGATCTCAAAGCCTTTTTTAAAAATAATAAACCCATACCAGAATTTTAGGAATGCACTTGCATTCTTGGTGACGATAGCTTTTTGGGAAATGGAATGTGTGCCCTGCAGATGCATGATTAAACTACATACAGAAATCCCATCTCATAAAATCCCTAGACTAGGGTATTCCAGGAGGTGCCTACCAGCTAAAATGCAATCTGTGAAATTAGAGGCACTTGCTGCAAATTGCACGTACCTTGCCTCTGAGAGAACATGCAGGCAAGAGGGGACTGACTGATGTGGTTTGGGATGGCCAGTTGCAGGGCAAGGGGAAGATCTGTGCACTCCCTGCAACCTGTCTACATGAAATGAGAACTGAGGAATTGGGAAGTTGGAAAGCAAATTAAGATTTCTGTTTGGGTATGTCTGACTATCACTAATAATGAGAGGCAGCCATTGAGGAGACTAATTCTTTGACTGCAATCCTCTTCCAAAGTGGTATTTAAAGTCCCAGACTTTAATGGCAAGGAGACTGGAACCCAGGCATTTGTTCTCTCTCAATGGGGAATATATGCTTGCATGCACCAGTGACCAGACTGAAACATCTCTCACGAGGGAAAGCAATTTCTCATTGGCACATGTTAATTCATTGGACTGCCTGACAGTCAGAATGGGCCAGTGCTAAAACGTTATGGCTGGACTAGATGGCAAGGACAACAAAAGCACCCAGACTGCAATAAAGCATTTCTGCTGATTTAAAAAGGGCCAAGTGGTGACTCTTGTCCTGACTCACCAAACTGAATGCAAAGCCTAGAGGTGCTGCTACTATTGATGCCATGCAGCTGCTTTCTGCTCAAGCTTGAACCCTCTGCCAGTTCAGCCAGTGAGCTCCAGATAAGAGTGGCAGGTGGTTATTCTCCAAGGTGAGTAAACTGTTTATGCATAGAGGGTCCTGGCGCATTAATCTGTTAGTGGAAGCAGCAATACTCTTCCCTTTCCAACAGAAAGGAAACCATTCTGCAAAACTGTGCCCACTTGTGCAGGCAATGAAAGCTCACCAAACATTTGACTGGCAAGCCCTTGTGGGCACCTTTCTTAACATGCAGTGATAAAGGGGGAGTGGAAACTGGAGCTTTACTGTAGCATTTTGCTCTTAAAAACACTCAAATGTCAGCAGGTCCCTGAGGTGTGCTTTGGTGGGCCAATAGGATGCCAAGGCAGAATCACAACGCTTTCTCTCTCTTTAAGAAAGATGCTCTGAATGCCAACTGCCTGTAAAAGGAAACAACAGTGCTGATTTGATCAAGCAGATTCCTCACTGTTCCTGCCTGCCTTATCATTTTCTGCAAGTGGCTGTAATTATGCCCAGAGGGGACCCATCTATTACAGGGATCCTTAGAGGTGCAACATGTTTCTCTATCTGTTCTATACACAGAGGTGCATTGTACCCCCGATCATCTATTCATCTTTGTCAGAGAAGGCCACCCACTGTCAGGGGCGGAGCAGGTGAGGAAGCAGAAGTATCTGCTATCCACCTAATCCAGACATTGGTGTCCACAGAAATGAGGGCAGATTTTCCTCCCCTTGCTGTGTATTAAAGGGCAGCATCCAATTTATTTTGTTGCATAGAACTCTGCAGGAGCAAATGAGCTCAGCCTTTGCTGCATAGCTCTATCTTGCTGGTTCTACATGACTGTGACAAAAGGACAAAACCCAGAAACTAGCATGTATATGTATATGCAGTAAGATACAGCACTTTTAATTTGCATAGTAGTTTCACATATTTGCCCTTACAACACAAGGTAAGGTAGGTCATTAGGATTCCCATTTCACAAACTGGGAACTAAGGCTGAGAAATGTGTGATTTGCCCAGGAACTTCCTCTGAGCTCCCTCATTTTTATGATAGAGTTCTTTGCAACCCTGTTGACGATAGAGACTATGCAAAAACTGGCTATCAATAACCAAGGTTACATATCCTTCAATTTCTCTGTTCCCTGAGTTAATGAAGAGCAAATGACATTCATATTAAATAAGAGATCATAAAGTTCAGAATATGAGAATCAAACCTGTCCTTGTACTTTAACAGGCCATGGTACTGCATGCATAGCTTGCTAAAGATATGTGGCACCCAGTTCCCATACAGACACAGTGGTATGCCTATCAGAAGGTGAAAAAGGAAGTCAGGAACCTACCCAGCCATAACAATGAAGAAATCTAGGCGGTTCCAGGTGTCTCCAAGGTAGCATTTCTTGCCAAAGATTCCCAAAGCCACCATCTTCAGCACCATCTCCATGGCAAAGAAGATAAAGATGAAGTCATCAAATACCTGAAAGGTTCAAGGGAAACTATGAGGTGGATTTTAACTCATTTTCAATGCCATTCTTATCTCATACTTCAGGATACATCAAGAAAGTATGAATTTCAGAACAGAGAACTGACATGCATTAACACGATTCCTTTGTATTACTTTCCTGATCCACCTTTTTCTTGGACAGTCTCCAACTCATTGATAGTCTTGTCTAGAAGAGCACAAGAACAGATGCAATGAATAGATACATAGAAGGGTTAACTCAGATTTTCCTAGAATGCTCATTTGTCTCCTTCAAATGGTTTTGCTGTGCTCAATATTAGCCAGACCCATGTGAACCCTGGTCAAGACCTTAGCCAGTGGCTCACCCATGAAGGAAATGGCCTACCTGCAAAATCTGGCATCTGTTGGAAAGGCAGTCCATATCATCACAGGGCTGGTACATCCCAAGTGTCACACAGTTCAGTAGGATTACCATCATGCTGATACACTCGAACCAAGTGGAAAGAAGAAATACAGTCAAGGAAAATCTTCAGCTACAAAGGCTGGAACCAACCCCAAAATCTGACAGAAAAACAAGTTAAAAAACTGCAACAGCTGAGCTATCAGGCCATAAAAATGTAATTTGCATGAACTGTAGGACTCTTCCAGGACTGTACTACTTCAGACTGCAGTTGGGGGAATCTCATGACTTCCCCCATAGAATAACTCTTCTCTGCCCACAGAGAGCCTCAGCGATTGGGTAGCATAAAAATGAAATGAATAAACAAATAAAATATATAAAAGTCAGATATCAGAATGGAGTCTTAACCTAGCCTTCACCCAGATTTCTAGGTAAAAGGAATCATGTTCATGGGGAGACATTCAATTATGCATATTCCCCCTTCAGACTAAAGAATGGATTTCTTAATGCATTTACCATGTTATTTGCTATTTGTGTGAATTACTTCATCTACTCTTCTAGAATAACCATGAAGCCTGTCATGGAATGTGTCGTGAGGTGTAGCCCAGTATGTAAACATTCCACACATTCTAGAGCAATAAAACCCAAGTCCTTTAATGCTAATTGTCTACAAGATTTACAATTCTATAGATAAGTTCCCTAATAGCGGTCCTTGCTAAGCAGATGGCAGCCCTATAATGGCTTCTCTTCCTGAGCCCACGTGGGATCATTCTCCCAAGTCACGCCTTTCCTCCCTCTTACGCAGTCTACTTTGTAGCTGTTCAAATCGGCGTAAAATAGGTCTGTTCTGGGCTCCTGAAAAATCCACGACACCTATTGTGTCTTCTGTTTCTGGCTCAGGGAGATCAGCATCGGGGGGGGGGGGGGGAGAGACAGTTTGCTCTGCCTCCTTCTGAGTAGAACTTGCAGCTTCCTCTTTCTCATGACTCTCTGTCTCTGATAAAGGTCCAGGCGTTCGCTCAATGTGCTGGGGCTCAGAGGAAGACGCAGTAGCTGGCTCAGCCGTCCCTGCATTGGGTTGTGGGGTCAACTCTTGGGCACTGGGTGCCAAGTGCAAGTTCTCCTTGGGAGTCACTGTTTCTGTCGGGGCTTCATGCACGACAGAATGGGAAGTAGAGATAAAGGAACAAATAATATAAAGCACAGTCATGAATACATGCAAATCTAAATGAAGTCATCCATTTTTAGTTATCTGATCAATCCTTTCAAATTAGACATAATAAAGTGGTCTTCCATGAAAATTTGCATGCATAAGCTGCAAAAGACTCCAACATAACAGAGTTAAACGAGTAGAATTCACTTTTTTTCGGGGGGAGTTAACATTTCTATCACTGGTAACACACACAAACACATACACACACAAATGGAACCATCCCTTCCTCCCCACAGATAACAAGATGTATTATAATTGCTGTTTATAATTACCCTCAACTTCTCCAGTTGTACACGTTTATTTGGTTCAAATGAGAAGACAATGAGCTGATTTTCATGACAAGGCCAACTCAGGACATGGCTGTGTACTAGGTGACATTCTGAATATGCAGCCCTGAGCAGGGATTGTTGTGTTGGGATAACCCAGCCATGGAGGGTAATTTCAGAGTTAAATAACCCTTGCAGGACCCCCTGACTTTGACAGGGTTTTGTGAAGGTTATTTAACCCCCAAATAACCCTCAGTGGCCAGGTTCACATGACAAAACAATTCTCTGGGCAGGTGTTGTATATTCACAGCATCATCTGCACATACTTAGTTACATGCCTTGCTTCATGTTAGTTAAACAAATCCCCCATGAGCCTACTGTATCACGCAAACCAAATTAAGGGAGCTATGCCAGAACCTAGTCCCTTTGGCTGCCTTGTCTGCAGAGTGAATCCAGAATTCGGCAAAGCACTTATCAACATCCAAGCAGACTTTTACATAAAGCCAGAAAAGTTACTAGACTGGAAAAAAAATATACCAGCCTCCATATATAAATGATTTCTACCAACTGGGGTGCCAGAAGAGGATCTTGCCTGCAATTTGGGCTTCTTGCTGTGCCCCCAGGCTGGCTATAGGGAAAGGGGTTTCCTCCACAGTTAGCATGGAAACCAAGGAATCCAGTGGAGGAGACAGCCTGCCTATCCATTGAATGGAAGTCTGTGCACTTGTCTCTGGTGGCCAAACAAGTGGTTTAATACAAGCCTGCATTTAGCTGGGGGTTGGTCTAGATAGCCTCCAAGGTATCCTCTAGCTCTAGTCTGTCTATGTGGAAGAAGCACCATTTGTGCCATGCTTCCTTTACGCATCCATGTCCACACTGCAGCAAATATACAAGGGCAATGCGACAGGAACAATTTGATTTGTAAATCTGGAGGGTAATTTGTCCCACCTACTGCGGGTACCAATGAAGACTGCATTGTCTCCAAATTAGTCTCCTTTTTTGCTTTCAGAAGAGGTTAGGAATACCAATTTTTTCCCCAAGAAATCTGTTGGAAGGAACAGATCACTGGTCCATCTAAACTGTTGTTTTGCTCCCAACAGTGACCAATGCTGGATGTAACTTCCATGATGGGCTTAATTATGCTACACTTTAACTAGAGGAGAAATTTGTTTCCTTATCCCAGCTGGTGATCAGTAAATATCCCAAAGCATGAGGATTGATAGCCCTTGTAATTGTTTTCCTAGCTACTGCTTGGTGTCCCTGGAGATGCTTATTTGTAGAATGGTAAATCCTTCATTTTGGAGGCTCTTACTAAGATAGCTCCTAATAACCCACAGCCAGAGAGTCAATTCATCTTCATTTTCCTTTACGGTTTGCAAAGAATCAAATCAAATCAAAATCCTTTGCATTTATTTTTAATGTGTTGCCTTCTATGTTTCACCATGTGCTGCTTCACTTTCTCTATTATAAAGTTTTGCAAACAAAGGAGGGCACAAGTGGTTATTTATACTCTGATTTGTTCTAGGCAATTCTGCCTAGATTGTTTCCCTTTTCCAAATCCGGCTGTCCTAAATCCAGATGTACTTTTAAGGGTTTTCTAATTTGCTGTTGCTACCCTAAATGGGATGAAAGTGCTTTAATGCCCTTTGTTTTGCAGCTTATACATTTAAATTTAGTTTAAATGAGAATAAAGCCTCCATTATTGCTCCACTGAATATTATCGTCAACATCTATGCAGATTAAAGGACATGTTCAGACTGGGTTTTGCCAGACTGTGCAATGCTGAGAAAGATTTCAAATACCCTGGGGTCTGTTGCTCAATAGGAATGGCAAATAGGCCAAAGTGAGAAAGATGCAAAGAGAGGAATTCAGCTCTGCACCTAAATCTTGAACAAATTTACACTCATTTGTTTGCATCAGGCATCTGTATTTGAAGTCTTTACACCCTGATCCTAAAGTCATGGATTTGATGATGTAAAACATGCAGAATTTGAAGGTGCAAATCAATATAATTGCCCTGATTCAGGTAAGATCCAAACATGAAAAGTTGGTTAAGAAACAGCATTAATAATCTGTTTATTTTGAGATGAAGAAGAAAGCTGAATCCAGAACTGTGCTCCCCTTTCAGCTCTCTTCCCAGACACATTAACAATGACATCACCAACTATCTGAATGGGATGCCATGGATAGAAGATAAAGCTAAAATCATGATGGCTGTATATTACCTCTAGTAGAATTGATGAGGAACCCAAGGTGGAGAGTGCTGTACTCACATCCTGCTTGTGGGCTTCCCATGGGCATTTGTTTGGTCACTATGTGAGCAGAATACTAGACTAAGTAGGCCTTAGGTCTGATCCAAAGCCTCTCACCTTACATTCTTTTTTCTTACATGCAGACCCAGTTCCTAGATGGGGCTTCTAAGGCTAGGCAGAGACATGTGTCAGTCCGCTGATGCATGTAGATAGTGTTGGAGTGAAGCTCCCATCCTAATGATGTCCAGATCACACAAAAATACTTTTCACCCATTTAAGTGATTGCCTTTTTTCACTGCTCAGAAAAACAAACAAACAAACTTGGGGCCACGGTCAGCGGGTGACAAAACTAACCTTGCTGCCCTAGGCATTGCTGAGGGACTAGTCGGGCCTTCTCATGGAGGCTGCATCTCTACGCAGAAACTCATTATGTCTCCCTTCTGTTTGCCCCATGTTGCTGGTATGTATATAAAGGGAATCAGGGACTGGTGGTGTACATATGGAGCTTTGAGGAGTTAGAGCTTTCTCACATAAGGACTATGCATTATTAATTAAGACTGTACACTGTTAAATTCTGGAACAAGAAACTTCAAAATAAAATATCTTTTCAACAATAACTGCTCCAACATCTTGAATTCCCACGGCAGTTGCAAAAACTGGAACACCCCCAATTTCCATTTTACTAAAACTTGGATCAAACTTACATTCCCTTTGGAAGGAAAAGCTGGTAGCTTAAGCTGGTTTGATTTGCCTTCAGGTCCCCTGCCCCAATTTCAGTGGCCAAATTCAAGGGACACCTGCCCTTCATTTTGGCAGAAGAGGCAGAGCAAAAGCAAAGTCTTGATGCTGATTTATAGCAGTGCACTGCCTACCTGTTCACCTTTCTGTGTTAAATGGTTCAAAGATAGTCAGGATGCTCTTTGCAAGTGTTTGGTACTCTTCCCTCTTTCTCAGCAGGGAGAAGAGAGATCTAAATAGTGAAGGGGACTTATAGGGCCAGATTAATATTGTTATAACTTTAGGATATTATGTTAATATAATTTATATTCCTCTTTAAGCACAGTCCCTTAAATGACTGCTCAGAAGTACATCTCCTTGAACTCCATGAGGCTTACTCCCAAGTAAGTGGGAAGATGATTACAAGCACATCCTATACCTATTTATAAGAATAAGCCCCAATGAATTCAATAGGACTTACTGCCGAGCGAACTTGTAGAGGAGTGTGCTGTCAATATTTAAACCTCAGAACAGATACACAAACAGTACTTAGGTTGGCCTAACTTTGGAGCAGCTGTATATGCAATCACCACCATGTAGCACTGCAGAGTATATAGAAGTGCAAAACTTTCCTGAGGGGTTTTGCAAG